CACTGTATTCGTACATGCCCAATTGTTTTTTCCGGTCTTTTTATCAAAAACTGCAAACTCATGCGTATATCCATCAAACACGTATGTGATACACTAGTATATTATTTCGCGAATATATTGTGTAGTTTATAAATTCACATTATTTTAAGGCCTGCCGGAAGCCTTCTGACAGGATGCTTCTACATATATCACTCGCTCCGAATATAAATATACGTAAGCATACATATACATAAATAAATATATATACAACATGCACCACAACATACATATCTTCAGTAATACCGTACCTCTCACGATTTCTTATTAACGCTGGTTTTGCCTTTGAAAGTCTTAAACTAAAACGTTACTGATTTTGCTTAATTGTTTGTTTTGTGTGCAGTGTATCGACATGCTTTTTGTTGCTACCTTGTCATTTCCACTACATAATGGTGATTGTGTAGCAGCTGAATATTCATCCCATATGGATCGAATTAAAGCGGTATCTGGACTGAATGATTGAATGTTCAAAACCACAAAACTGGCAGAATACGGGAACGTTGAGTTCCGTTTCCCTTACAAGTGCTTAAAAAAGTTTCCTTTTTCTTTGTGTATTGTTGGTACACCCCACGTCCTGTTTCAGACCGGCGATTTGTTAAATATTAAATAAATGACTACCATTTTCGTCTTTAGATCGCCGAGGCAGGATAAAACTAACAAATGATAACAAGCGAACCGTCGCAATTCCGTGTCAGTGTTCGAGCCTACGTACTGCACATCTAAGCTCAGGATTGCTGACTAGGTTGTATCATCAGACTTGTTCTATTATGCGAATAAATCAACATATTCAGATATTCAGTCTTTAAGAATATCCTACAAACAACAGCCCCATTTCCGAACCATTGAATAAGGCAGACCGAATAGTAACAATATAAAATCGATCTTCCACGAAAAACAAACCGGCCTTAAACTGGTATGCACAGAACGAATCCCTGTCGTTGTATGGACCGCTTCGTCTACTTTTAGGGACTAAGTGTCCAAACGTTCCCATCTATTCTACAGTGTATTGCCAAATTCTGACCAGAAGTTAACCCCGCAAATCAGCTGATTGGTAGCGTACTGCACACGGTTGATTGTGTGGCAAACAGTTCAAGACAAGTGGGACCAACAGCGTTTACATAGTAATAGTACTCGAGCTCATTCATGTCGTCACTTCTGTGATCCGCTACTTGACCCTTCGGGTAGTCCGACCCATCAGACAGAGCATGTGCGCGCCAATCCGTTCTGTGAGCTGTGTTTTCGAATTCATCGCGGTTTGGTCATATCAATTATCAAATAAGAAAGAAAGGCTTGACATAACGTGGTGACACTCACACTAACAGCCTCTTACCGCTCTGACGTTTGCGCGCTTGGGGTAATGCTCATCTTGAGAATGACAGTTCACGAATTTCCGTGACCGCCTGAGTCACCGTGGCCGAGGCGTTGACCACTGCTTCCCTTTGATCTCAAACTCCCCGAAAGGAACCGCGACCCACGGTTACCTGGATTCAAACGTTTTTGTCTTGTTTGAATTCTGATTGCCACGACCAAACACAATGAACCAGTCACGAATACAGCTGATAAGACGAATTCACAAACACGTGCTCCCTAATGCTCACATCTGTTCGACACTTTGGTCGGTCAGTGAATGGAATGCGTGAGTCAAACTGGCATGGACCTGTTCACCTATAGGTGCGTAAGCGCAAGTATTATTCGTACGTGAATGAGATTTGCTCCAGTCCGGTTAGCCTGTCCATCATTCAAAATTCTGTGCGAAACGCCACCGATCAGCTGACTGGTTGGGTCAAGTCCAAATGTCAGGTTTCAAACATGCTGCATAAACCTTTCGGATCGAGGGAGATGAGGAGGTGCACATCGCAATCCTAGTTAAAGTAGTTACAGTAGTAATCAGCTATCGTCATGCCATCATACCTTAGTATATTTGATTTGTGATGAAGAAAGTTTACAGGAAATACCTTTTGTGCGCCAATGAGAAAGCTGTTGTGTATGAGGAACAAACAAGGTTTAGTGTTTCCAGTGATGGGGACGGACAACAACTCAATGTTGATATCTCGTGATTTGAGACAGGTATTCGTTTGTGAATCGATACGGCTGTCGATGGTTTCCGGTCGGTTCCATGACCAGACTACTGGAATTGGACAAATGGGCATGGAATGACTAGAATCAAGACAATCGATGCATCCAAGCCGTATGATTTCACTCTCAGTCAAGGTGACGAGACTTTCACAGGCCGGAAGGGCCATAGGATAGAGGCAGACTTACATTCCACATAGTTCATAACTGGACATAGGGTTCCTTTCCGTTTACGACCACGTCTCCTTCCGGTAGCATCTCGTTTGGTTTCTTTGACAAGTTTGCGAAGAAGTAGATGAAGCGGAATGTTTCCCCGGCGATCGACAACGTTCACAGGACACCCGTAATCAATGAGGTGACTGTTCAAAGAGACATGTGAAAGTGGTCAAACAATCGGTAAACAGAGCGACAACTAGAAACTGACATTTACTGTGTATCAATTAGCTGGATACGTTGAGACGCAACAAACTAAACTTGCACAGGTGTCAATCAATCACGAAGTAAAATGCCATGAAAATTTCACGTGTGTAAAAATTAGCTTAGGTGTTCGATGAACTTAAATTCAGCTGATCCTGATTACATCATTTGAAATGCACGCGCACGAACAATCAAATTGTCAATCGGCGGCAGTATGAACGTGGTATCCTATGCGGCACAGATACTGCAACGCGAACTATGCGATCACTACATTCGTTCTCGAGCAATTGGCGAGTAAGCAGTTACAGCGGACCGGTCACGAGATCAGTGTGGAACACGGTGAGTCAAAGGAATTGAGTTTGGGGTGGCCAATTCACAAGCACTGATGATGTCACCTCGGCTGGTGGTGAAACGTTTGCAAACAAATTATCAAGCTCGGCGAACAGGCGCAATGGAATTGAGTTTATCCAATTTTTATTTGTTTTGTCATAGGCACTACCCCCTCCCTCGCGTTGGAGCACATTCTCGGTGCGCCTGTCTAACAACGGCTTATCTATGTATGACGATCACAATTTCCAACGGATAGCTCGAGATACCTGGGTGGATTGAATTTCCGACACAATCGTGAGCATGAGAATACTGTCAGTCGTTTAAGTGAAACAGTGGAAACGTTTTCGCTCAATGTACCATCGATCACTTTCAATGGAATAAGATAACAAGAACATTCACAAACTATTGTAGTGCTATACAACGAGAACAAAAGACACTGAAGAGAAATTTCAATAGAAGTTCCCGTTTGCAAGCATATGTGACCACCGCAGCACAGCACTGAAACGTGCAGTTTCTTGGTGAACACTTGATCCCAACATATACCCTCCAAAAATGATTGATGCTGTTTCAGACTTATTGAGTATCACTGATAGTGTGCAGACGTTAACCTCCAAAAACACCTCCCATACTTATCGGGCGTGTTGTGGTAGCTGCATGACCAACTGGTTAAGTTTTTTGCACCCATGTGACAAATAACCTCGTTTGAGCTTAAACCAAAAAAACAGACGTTCAAACGGTAAAATATGTGCTTTCGGAGCTGGCCACCCTAGAACACTGAGGTCAACCACTGAGCACTCTCGTGTTCAAATTTCCAACCGCAACCAGACTGCCGATAAGTACAAATTCGAACATCTTATGAAGGACACAAGTTAGTTGATTGGATGCCTAGGCAACTACATACTACTCCATCGGATGGCACTGTATTTGATCTGATACGTACAGTTAATTGTGAAAATTTAGCACCTGAATGCATACATCGTGACAGATATTCCGCATCGGAAAATCAATTAGCCGATACATTCATATGCATGGGCTTTTATTTCGATTCATCTCATCCGATCGGGTGCATTTCGTTTCCCAGAATAAAATAACCTAGAGAACGCCCGATTAACATTGCATTTTCAAAATAATATACATTATTTAGATATGAGTTAAACTACTGAAGTTAATCATAGATAAACTTTATACACAGAAATATACCTATTTGCTCTTCTTATCTCTTTTATTGAATACATGAAGGTATAAATGATGTTCAAGAAGGGACCACCGAAAGCCTCAGTATGTTCGGAATGAGTGTCTTGGTTTGTAACTGACTACCTTTCCATTACACTTCTCGATTTGTCTTTTTCTTGCCTTGGTTGTAAAATTACAAGTCTCACTCGTTGTCATATTTTTGGTTTGGGAAAAACATACACAAAATTTTGGGAGCGTTATGCATGCTGATTGCGGAGCAACATCGTCGACTATTAATCATTGTTAAACAGTAGTTGGATCTTAAACTGGGACATTTTGAGACCCAGTGGGGATGTGTCAGAACACAACCGATTTGATGATTGGGGAATCCGCCAACGGGCCAGATTCAACAAGTTCCATTCGAGTCCGAACAGGCAACCTTGGGTATCCTTTGGGTGCACAAGTATAAACATGCCGTTGGGATAGAGGATGGCATTGTACTCATGAACTAAACAAAGCTTGTTGTACGAGAAACTAAAAAGAACGGAAATTGGTCGTTTGCAATTATCGATTGACTAATTCATTCATTTGTGTAAAAACCAATTTTGAACTAAAGCCCGCTCATATTCGAGGTAATTGATTGAGCAAATGACGTAAGCTCAAATCAAGATGGGAATGTGAGACTTGGACAGTTAGTTTAGCAAATTAAGCTAGATGACGCACTGTTGTTGTTTGATTGGGGATTGATACAAGGAAAACGAAGCTCAAAGTTGGACTACACTTTGGGCTGAAACACAACCTAAGTAATTTTGAGTTTTATTTTATGTAACACATGCACACACACATTGACGAAGAGAAAAAGGAGAGCACTTCGAGTAGAAATCAATTTTCCGAAAACGTAAATAATAGGGTGAAAAGAAAAATTCTAAATGCCCCGGGGAGATTCACTTTTATTAGATGGGGTAAGGTTTTCAAGGAAAACAACGCTTGGTAAACAAGGTTAGATAACGGTTAACAGATGACTCATCGTCCCGTGGGCAGATGTTTACCAGAGATGAGAAGCATTTTGTGACATACACTATCATATCCGGATGGACAAACCGGGCGGCTAAATGAAGTAGCGTACGTCCTTTCCTGTCCCGTACCGAGGCCAACAGGCGTTTTGCGGTCAAACTACTTTTCGGATCTCGTTTAGACGATCTCGCATCAGGGCACTGGTCCGCTGCCCACAAATTTACCAGTGCATCCAACCGTGACACATCACCTGAGCTGGCCAGTTTGATCGCCATTGATCGATATTCCTCAGTGGTCCAGTCAGAATGAGTGGTCCGAATGGATTTTACCGATTTAGACGAGCGTGAATCAGACATAGAGTAAGAGCTGAAAAAGATACCAACAATTGAAATTGATGATGCACGCACAATCTAACAAGCATGGGCTGCGATAATATAACCCCAAAAAGTCATACATTGCCATGGTCAAATTTTACTACTATGCTTGACGAAATGTTTGCATAACAAGAGAGTTTTGAGTGTTAGCGTTGAATGGACAGGTATCATCCTAAGCTTCACTGGATTCTGTTAGTGTCATTTTACTAACAACAAGAAGGGCGTGGACAGTGTCCACTGAGATTAGCTCTAGTGCACATACAAGTCAAAAAGAAAATCGTGACGATGAACAGAAAGCAGATTGAGAAGATGGCCTGAACACATCTCGCTATAACTGCGGCAACTCTGATGCTGTCATGAACTGTATATCACGCGTGCTGATGCAAAGGAGCCAATGACGAAGAACGAGTTGATTTGCCTCAATCGTAGCGGCATAAACGAACAATGGATAGTTTCGATGACGATGACAACCAGTGTCCCACTGCAGCAGATGCATCTAGGAATAAGTGTGACCGGTGTAAATTTGATTCAATTGTCCATCGATGTTCATGTGCACTAAACTCATTTTTTAGCCGATAAGGAAAAACCAATCAAAGGGTTGCGGTGCAAATAGACACGGATTAGCATATTCATTCCTTATAGGTGACCATCGCATTGATAGATGATGCAGAAACGTCAGACTGAATGGAGAAATTCATGTAAACCGACTGTACGCTACTTGAGACGAGAGTGATTTATTCGGAAATGTCAATTATTCAATGAACGGTACACGAAATAGTATTGTTGAGTCCGAGTCGACATGGTTTTACAGTGCGTGTTTTGTATTCAACACACATTTGGCAAATTAGTGGCTGCCTATTCGATTTGTAGATAGACAGTAAGTATCAGTACTCAAGATTAAAGAAGAAATTTAGGGTGATCTACGTTGTTGCCTCAAACGGCGAACGGATACACAAAGGAATGGACTTAAAACGCCACAGAAACCAGCTCACATAGGTGGTAAGACGTTCTGGTGTTTGCCGAAGAAAACGCTCCTTCCTTTGTAATCGAGTAATTAGTAGTGTAACGGAATAACCTAAACGTTTTTGTTCATATACTTGTAATGCATGGAAATTCCGACGATGAAATCAGAGAATTGAGAATCGGTCGTTAGCCCAATTAGGTAACAAACAGCCGTTGCTCGTTGTGTCCCCCAAAAAGATGTAGTAGGCCAAATAAAGTGGACCGCGTGATTGATTTCTGTAAAATATGAACTGAACTTGTAAAAAACGCCAACAAAAGGTGAGAAATTTCGATGAATTGTTATGTAAAACAAAACAAGTGATTCGCTTTTTGGCCGTGGACACCCTTGTCGTTCTAGCGTTAAGAAAATCCCAGATATCCCCCACACAGAAACAAAACGCATTATCCAAGAATGACGCAGGGTAAAAAATGCTGAAATCGTGAACAACTGGAGGAGCATTAAAACACGTTCAAATTGCAGGACAATATCATCGTGGGCCACCAGACGTGCATCACTACAGCCTGAGCACCGTGCCAACCGGTAAACAGATGCATATCGGTTTTGGTTATTGATGGTGGTCGTGGTAGGTTTGGTATTCAGCTAATCCGAGTGCTGGGTAGCCGAGGTTGGGTACTGTGTGGAACGAGAATGGATTGAGCCGGATAGGACACATGTTACCGACGCCTCACACAACCGACTCCACTAGGTATTCCTGGATTTGCACAGTTAGTGATTTTAGTTTAACACTATGTGTCATATTGATCGGATTGGACTAAAAGCCTGCGTCCCACGAGAGCAGCTGCACATAATCGGTGGCAAGGTAGTCTAGAGTTTTCGTGTTAAATTTACTCATCCCCTCCACGTTACATTTCAATTAGTTTTAGTGAGTTTTCTGGCAGAGTTTCCTGATCAAAAATAATCCAACCCTAGCACACGTATGCCAGGCCATAATTTATAAAAACAGTCAAACAATGCAGCCAGCGGTCAAGGATATATAGGATAGATGACTGGAATCCAACGGTTGCCGAATAAGTTCGTAGGAGCATAATTATGAGGCATGGAGAGACACCATTTGAAGACAGGGTAAGTAATAGAGTCAATAGAAAGAGCCGGGAGAATCAGCATAGTCTACTGTCCGGGATTTTAATTCCAATTGACTTTCTTCTTCTATTGAGTCCGTGGTGAGAAATCAGCGGCATAATCTCGTCCGAAACGAATTTTCTGATCGGTTTTATCCACACTGACTCCTTTAAACAGCTGCTACAGTGCATTGAAGTAACTGCAACATTACTAATCGCCGAAACTTGGTACTGTACTAGCCGGGAAGAGATGCGATTATGCATAAACCGCTGGCTAACAAATACCCTTATTTTACGGTAAATCCGTTGTTAGAATGGACATTTCTGCCTCAAGCACTAACAAAGATGATTTACAATGCCTTCAGTGAAAACGACTATAGTTCATTCTGTTTCAATACACCTAGCATAGCTTTGTAGCTTATTGGGATAGGCACAGATGTGTTATCCTTCCAAGTCATCGATCCCCCTACCGATCTGGTTCTTCGTCTGACGAAACACGTGATCTCAAGAAGGAATAAAGAAAAACAAATTAACCCTCCGCGTCATCCTTGATTGACAGCCGTGTAGTAGAAATGTGCCGGATCTTCAACTCCTATGAATTCATGAAAAACACGTCACAAACATCCTAAAATGCGTGTCGGCTTATAAATCTCCCCTCTTTGAGAGCCACAATTGAACCAGTCTTCAGACATGTTCATACGTACCGCAGCCATTTGCGGACGATCAGTACAAAAACGCGCATGATGTTCACCGGTGTATATTGATTGTTCAGGAGCTGATAGTGGAAAACACTGAGTTCGACTACGAACGACATAAAACGACAAAAACAACGACGAAATGAACATATATGTATCAAGAAACCGGGTTTACTTTTAGAAAACAGATACCCTAGTGTAACACAGAGAACTCAATCACACGGAATCAACGGCTACAACAAAAAATAAAAGAACTGATGAACATTAGAATACAAGTCCGAAGACGAACAATTGTTTTCGAATGATTCATAATCGTGCCTGTACGATCATATAAGGGTTCGTTGTTAGTGGGGACACATTCTCACGCTGGGTCT